CATGATTAAAGGAAAAATATATATAATAAAAAAATGTTTTGATCTTTGGTGTGCCTGGCACCATGATTAAAGAGAAATATATATATATATATATATATATATATATATATATATATATATATATATATACATAGGAAAGATGGATGGGTGGCATTTAAAAAAAGAAAAAGAAAAAAGAAGAAGAGCAAACAGGAGGGAGCCTTCACGAAAGTTGCTCGTGTGAAGCCTCATCACTTGGCGGGACTCCAGGAAGAAGAGGAGCCGGAGGTTGATCATTTGGAGCTTCATTACGCGGTACAGCCCTAGAAGACGAAGGCAACTGTTTTTGGAACAAACCCACAAACCTCTGATGATCAAGTAAAATCTGACCATCAGATTCCTGCATTTGGTCCATCTTCCTCTTCATGTTTGTAGCATAGTTATGTGCGAGCTTGTGCAACTGTTTGTTCTCATGCTTGAGCCCTCTAATCTCCTGTTTGAGACTCATCACTTCAGCCGCCAATGATTCAACTTGACGGGTTCGAGCAAATAGACGTTGGACCATATTAGACACAGAACCTGCACACTACACACTGAGAGCTATAGAATCCTTAACAGCCAACTCATCAGACCGTTTGGAAAGTAGTTTATTATCTTTGGGAGTGACAATGTTCCTGGCCACCACCGCAGCAGTCATATCATTCTTCATCATCGAATCCCCAACGGTAAGCTGACCAATAGCGGATATGAAGGATGGGCGCCATATGTTGTCTGGAGAAGGCGGGATTGCCTCTTCACCAAGGTTCAAGTCAAAACGACGGTCGGAGGGTCCAGACATTTTCAAAAGTGTTGAAGAAAGAAGAGGTTGGACGAATCAAGATCTTAGAAGTGCAAGAAGGGAGTTTCTACAAGCGAAAATTCAAGTGTGCTTTGAAACGAACTGTGTGCCTTTATAAAAATCAGCACTCGACGGGATTTTAGAGATCGAAGAGGCGAGCTCAGAATTCGAAGAGGCCAATTCAAAAATCGAAGAGGCAAGCTCAGAAATCAGAGAGGCATCTTGCTTTTCCAGACGCGTCAGCACCCGTCACATGCAAACTCAGCTTTGTGGAAATCACGGGTAATTTGTCGAAGCGCTGATCCCAGATATCGAAGAGGCGCCAGTCTTTTTCAACCTCGTCAACACCTGTCACATGCACACTCAACTTGGCGGAAATTACAGACAATTTGTCGAAGATTTCTGATAAAGAAGAAAGCACGTGAAGCCATACTGATCAATCACTCAATGGTTGCCGACACGAGTGAAAGAATAGTACCTCTACATGTATTAAAGAACTTCCTATAACTGTCCACCTTCACCCTCCATAGCAAGGTAGATATACAGAACCTTTCTTTATCCCCGAGAATGCCTTCCCAACAAAGCCTCTTGAGTCACTCAGTGTTCCTTATTCCTTGGGGTACATTTGCAAACAAATGACACCAAAGCAAAAGTATCTTATATCACTAGGGTAGAAAGCAAGAGTATCTCATATCATGCGTTCTCCCTGTCATTTCCCTTGTCCTTGTTCTTACCTGCAAAGACAAGGATAAAGAAAGCAATATGTCGGAACCTCCACTTAAACTTAGGTAAGGAATCGACTACTTGGAACCTTTGCCTGGTTGCTTACATGGTATTGCTCTCGAGTACTCGTCTTCCACTGCTGCTGTACTTCCAAAGAAGCTGCCACATCTGTTTGGAAAACAGATAAGGCAAGTGAAAATGATACCTTGCAGCACGTGGATACAACGTGCAGAAGAAACAAGCAGAGAAGAATGCAGTCTGCACAGTCAACTCAGCAGAAGGAGTCTGAGTTAAGGAACTCGAGAAGATGCTACATTTGCCTAGAGAACAAATAAGGCAAGGGAAAATGATACATTGAAGCATGTGGAGACAAGCACAACAAAGCACGTGCCGATTCATCCGCTACTTCTTCAAAATCAAAAGTATCTCATATCATCAGGGTTGCAATCACTATCAGTGGAGGGCTCGTTTTGACCCTCAAATTCTTGGGTCGACTCGCTAGGCGTTGTGGGCTGCACGTGCCGATTCACCACCCTTGAATCAAATCCTTAAAGATCAAGTCACCAACTGGAAGAAAAGCCCATCAATCTTGAAGATCATACCGTTGACCAAACTGCTCAGGTGTGAATTAGAAAGATTGAACAAAGCAACGAGTCGTCACCTTCACCTCGTGCCTGCTTGCCATGTGTTCGAGTCAACCTTCAAGAATCAAGCCTCAACGGCCCTTGAAGAAGCTTCCAGCCAAATTCAAGATCAAGCCTCGACGACCTTTGAGGAAATCACAAGTCCGATTCAAGATCAAGTGTCTACCACCCTTGAATCAAACCCAGTTCAAGATCAAAGCTGTGGAAAGTCAACAAGCACAACAAAATACGCACCAATTCATCCATTACCAAAGCCAAAGATCATCTACCACATGAAGCTCCTTGTGGTTCAATTTCAACCTTCAAGATCAAGCTTCGACGACCCTTGAAGAAATTTTCAGCCCAATTCAAGATCAAGCCTCAACGGCCCTTAAAGAAATCTCAAGCCCAATTCAAGATCAAGCCTCAACGGCCCTTGGATCGACATCTACATTAAGGGACTTCAAAACGCATCTCCTACACGCGACAAGCACATGTATACAACGCGCCTTGAAGTGGGGGCATTTGTAGACATCGAAATTTCGGTGAAATAAATGTTGACCAATAGTTACAATTTCAATGCTCACGTGTCATATAAATTTTACACATAGCGTGTGACTAAATGAAAAATCAAAATAAATCAGAAAAGTCATCAAGCAGGACACGTGTCAACACCTAGCAGAAACGATTTATTTCATCTGAATATTATATTCAAAATTAGGCTTTGGAAAATTCTATAAATAAAAGCCAATTTCATTCATTTCGGGGGGACCAATTGATATTACACCAAAACCTTGAAGCTTTGAAACTCTAAAGCTCTCAAGCAAATTCCGAAGGATTGAGAAAACTCTCTTCGTTCTTCGCCAAATCCGCTTTCAAGCTCAAGCCCTGACGACCCCTTGAAGAACTTCCACCAATTCAAGATTAAGCCCCGACAGCTCTTGAAGAAAGTGTTCATCGTTTATCATCCGTTCAACCTAAGATCAAGCCCCAACGGCCCTTTGGATCAACAACGTCGACAAATCCACACATCCAACCATCCTTTAAGATCAAGCCCAAAAGCCCTTGAAGATCCGTTCATCACTGTTCTTCAAGATCAAGCCCAAAAGCCCTTGAAGATCCATTCATCAACTATTCATCAAGATCAAGCCCCAAAGGCCCTTGAAGTTTCGTTCATCAACAGTTTTTCAAGATCAAGCCCCAAAAGCCTTGAAGAAAGCGTTCATCGTTCATCATTCGTTCATCCTAAGATCAAGCCCTAACGGCCCTTTGGATCAACAACGTCGACAAATACACACATTACGGAGATTGAATCAGAGGATCAAATTAGAGAGAGATTGTAACCCAAAATCATCAAATACAAATATTATTTTGTGCACGTGTTCTTATCTCGTTTGTTTCAGGAAAATTTCGTGTTTACAATGTCAAAGAAAGCAAAAACGAAAAATAAGCAGCCTTTTCATCCCTGACCCCGACACACCCAGCCGCCACCATTTCCTCGCACTAGAAGAACCTGCAGAGTGGTTGTAGTCTATAGGACGCTCTCATCGTCCAAATCTCAGTTAAAAGTAAAAACTAGACCCAATTATGAAACCCTCATTTTTCTTTTTTGGACGTTAAAACTTAAAAGCTTAAAATATCATTTTGAAAGAGGTAAGTGCATAGTTGTATTTTCAGTTCAATTTGTTTGTCATTATTTCTTATGAGTAGGTTATAAGTTGATTGTGTATAATTATTTTTTTATATAAATTATGTTTCGATTTTAATGAGATTTTTGTTACTTGGGATACGCTTAAAGTAAAGTGTTTGATAAAATGCCTCAATTGAAACAAAGCTTAGGAATTGTTGAGACTGTATATTGGGATTGTATGTTCTACTTTGAGTTAAACTGAATGACCATGTACCATACAACTAGAAGTTGGGATGGGTTTAAAAAATCGAAAACCGAAAAAAATTGAGCCAAACCAAATTTGTTAATATTTAATTATGTAATATTAATTGTATAAATCATATACAAATACTCAAAATCTAGAAGGCAAAAGGTTCAAACCCCTTACCTCCAGGTTGAGAGTGTTTGCTTCAGCCAACTTGACAACAAGCTTTGTGTTGCTATAAAATATTTTGGGAATTGTTATTAGCACTCTAAAAATCTCATTTGGTACTCCAAACTTTCTATAATTAGAAAGAAAAATACACTTGTGAGGAGTGTAGTATAAGATTTTTAGAGTGCTAATAACAATTCCCAATATTTACACTAATTCTGGATCTTTAATCTCTACTAATTAATAAAGGAAGTGTTATTGGCACTCCAAAAATCTCATTCTACACTCCTAACAAGTATATTTTTCTTTCCCAATATAGAACTTTTGGAGTATAGAATGAGATTTTTGGAGGGCTAATAACAATTTCCATTAATAAAACACTCATTGTCAACTAAAATCCTATGAAATTACCAATTTAACATTTTAATTAAAATAGAACATGATATAGAGCAGAAATGTAATTTCATACAACTAAATTTTTTTTTTAACCTCACATACATGTAATCATAATATATCTCTATTAAGAAAAAAAAAAAAAAAAAAACTTTCCACTCCCATATTCTCTATTACTCTCTTCCTCTCTCCTATTTCAAAAACAAATATAAAAAATCTTCGCATACATTTTATGTGTCCATATACGAGTTCTTTATAAGATTTCTAAACACAAAACCTCTTCCTCCAAATCAGACTCTCTCTCTCCCTCTTCTCCGCTGTCGAATTTCTTCAAGGACGGTATCGGCCTCGGCGGCATCTTCCACAGCGCCGTTCAGGTTCCTCCTCCTCCTCTCTCTCTCTGTCTTTCTCTTGTGTACTCGCGGTTGCAGGTATATGTATGTAATCTGAAAGTGGACGTGTAATTGGTAGTTGGAGTGCTGTGAATTTGGGGGAGATTTAGGGCTTTAATCTGAAAGTAGACATCTAATTGCTAGTTGAAGTTAATAATTTTCCTGATTGATTGTAAACCTTTGATTTGAGTTTGATCTGAATACTGAAAAAGTTTCAATTTTCGCTATGTTAGTTTGGATTTTCGGTATTTAAGTGCCGAGGGGTTGTTGAGTTTACCTTTATGATTTGCGTTTGCGGTTTTTAATTTTCAGTGAACTGCTTTATGTTGCCTCAATAGATGTTTCAGATGCCTTTATGTTGAATTTTCGTTGCCAGTCAAGAAACTCTGATGATTCTTATATGGAGAATGACTAGAGTTTGCCTCAATAGATGTTTCAGATGCCTTTATGTTTAGGCAAAAAACCGAACCGTTTTGAACCGAACCCAGCCCTAACTAGAAGGAATGAAGTCAATGTGGAGCAAGTAGGCCAACATTTTGACAAGTTGACTGAACTCGAACACTACCGAATTGAATTTTGAGGTAGCGGGATTCGGAAAGGGAGATACTTGGAGATTTGTTATTGCATTTTTTAATTAGTTGCGAGTTATTTGGATTTGATTCAAACTTTTATTTAGTGACCGTTTTCTTATTAGTAATGAGTAATGACAACGAGGGGTTGCTATTTTACGCCATGAACGTATATCAAAACACTGTGGTAAAGAATATTTGATAATCATGTGCCCGAAAAGAATATCTGAAAATCAAAATAATCATGTTTTGAAAAATAAAAATAAACTGTAGTCTTAGTCTGGCCTTGTGCCAAACTTCGGCATGATAATACTTAGTCCAGCTTAAATCAAGCCAAGCTAGCTTAGTCCCTGAAATAGTCCAGTACACGACAGAGGCTCTGGACCAAGGGGTAGAGGAAGACTTAGGAAGACTTGGAAAGAGACTCTAAGAAAAGACTTGGAGTACTTGGATCTAACGGAACACTTGGCACAAAACCGAGCGCTGTGGCGTTCTAGGATTTATACAGCTGACTCCACTTAGTGGGATAAGGCTTTGTTGTTGTTGTTGTTGTGGGAGGAGCGACTTCAAATCTCAAGATTTAGCTGATATTTATAGCTAAACTCCTATATCTATATTTGAATGAAAGAAATAATAGATAAAAAAACATATGGATATCAAATATTTTGTACCTAAGTTATTTCAAGTACATGCTGCCTGAGTGTATAGTTTTTATTTTCAACAAATGTAGCCTAACGATCAGATTTTAATCCTTTTATTGTAAAATACATCCAAAAAATTAGGTTTTACAATGGAAGTATTGCAATCGATTGAACTATGCTTGCATTCTTGGAAGATGAAATTAGTTGAGACCTGATAACCCAATGCACTGTTATTAGATTGACTTTAATTTTCATTTTTATTTCAAATGGTGCAGGGCTCTACGCACAATATGCAGAGAAGAATAATATGGAAGCCTTGTCATTTTGCAAGAATTCGTTGCCTAGTTGATCAAAAGGAGTGTTTTACATCCGAGAGAGCCCTTACTTTAGGAGGAGAAACAGATGATCCTGTGTATGCTGATGTGCCAAGACCTCCTAAAAAAATGTCAGAAAGGAAGCCTTACCCTACACCCATGAAGGTTTTGATTCGAAGAGCCAAGGAGGAGAAAGAAGCCCGGAAGGTTGAACCTTGCAGGATGCTTGAAGAATCACCTGATAATGGATTGTTGGTCCCTGAATTGGTTGAGGTAGCTCATCAAGTTTACCAAGCTCGAAAGTCCCTCCTGTTTGGCTTGTCAAAACTTGTTCAAGTTGTTCCTGTCCAACGGTGCAGGTATCCAGAGGTTGCCTTTTGTTTTTGTTTCCTTTTTTTCGTTCCTTGAGTTTGTTTACAAGTTTATGTGTCAACTCTTATTTGCCAATTTCACCTTAGTGAACCAAATTTGTACGTTCCTATACATCGAGGTTCCTCTTTTGTCCAAATTGCTTAGGATCGTGGATTTAGACTCATATACACTGGGAATCTCCTTTCATCTGTTAGTTGGATTTTGATTTTTTAAGGGGTTGAACGGTTATTGAGGTTGACTTGTATTGATCATGCAGGCGGGATATCGTTGCCTAACGTTTAGATTCTCTTTCTGGCCTGTAATCTCAATATTTTATGTGTATTGCTTGGTGCTTTCAACTTGTAAAAGCAATTTCCTGTATGGATGGCAGGGCTTAGTGTGAAGCTAATTGAGGGAAGATAATTAGAGTCTATGGTAACACATGGAAACATTTTACTGAAAACTATAAGTCAATGGCTAACAAAAATATGCGGGCTCTGAATCTACTTCCTGTAGTTGGTTGATTAACCGAATGCCATCCTGATCAGATATATAATATCCTTATGCTTGTTAGTTCGTCGTCTAATTTAAATAATTATTCTCAGGTTTTGCTCCGAAGTTCACATTGGACGTGTCAGTCATGAAATCCGAACTTGTACGGGCCCAAACAGTGGTTTTAGGAGTGGGACACATGTTTGGAGGAAGGGAGGAGTTCAACATGTGGTTTCCTTTCCTAAATGTTTCCATCTTTATGACCGTGTTGGAAAACCAAGAGTTGGGCATGATGAGAGGTTTGAAATCCCACGAATCCCTGCCATTTTGGAGCTCTGTATACAGGCTGGTTTAGAGATTGACAAGTACCCAACAAAGAGAAGAACGAGACCTGTATATAGTATCGAAGGAAGAATTGTAGACTTTGAGTCGGTCAACAAAATGGATGATGTGGATAGGAACTCATATTCTGGGATTGTTGATCTCGTAGTACATTCTGATATTAAAACTGATGTTGAGGAATTGAGGAATTCAGATTCACAGAGTGATACCAACCTTGTGGATAAAGCATTACCGAGCGATAAAGTGGGGAAGTCTTTGAGCGAGTTAAGTATTATTACAATGGACTCATGGTTTGAGATGATATTGGGAGCAAAGAAGATCATGGAGAAATACAGTGTGAAGACTTGTGGATATTGTTTAGAGGTTCAGGTAGGTCCCAAGGGGCACAAAGTGAGGATGTGCAAGGCTTCAAAGCATCAATCTCGTAATGGTTTGCATGCTTGGCAAGAAGCAACAATAGACGACCTTGTGGGTCCGAATTATGTTTGGCATGTCCGTGACATAGATGGTCCTGCTCTGGATAACAACCTGAAGAGGTATTACGGGAAGGCTCCAGCTGTGGTGGAGCTATGCGTGCAGGCAGGTGCACCTGTGCCAAATGAATATAGGAGTATGATGAGATTAGATGTAGCTTCTCTAGAGCGTGACGAGGTTGATCTGGTTGCTTGAGATAATGTTCCTCTATGTAGATGAATCGGATGTAGTAAAAGAGATGTAAACCTCCATATTGTGACGCAACTGCTAGCAAGGGGAGGTCTCTCGCTAGAACTCCTGGTGTATTAGATTGAAGAAGTATCTACTTCCCTATTGTGGCTTATGAATGCGAGTGTTTTGTCTGCAGGGTTAGTAGTCCACAAGGTTAGTAGTCCACAGGGCTAGTGTCTTCTCTGGATTCTGTTGCTCGAATTTGTCAAGTGAAAGAGAGCGAAAGGATGAGGTAAAGAAATATGACTTGTGGGCTGATCGTGCATGAAAAGGTTGTAGGTATGAAAAAAAAAGTCCACAGGGCTAAGAGATGTTATGCAAGGTCTTCTTTTATCGACACAAGTATTTCTTTGGGCAGATGAAGAAAGTTATGCTATATGAACTTCTGGCCCCCAAGATCTTCTCTGTCTTGTCTAAACATGTGAAACATGATGATTGAAGACCCAATCTCTAGTCTGTGTATTGAGACAATGCTACATGTCAATTAGTATAGCCAATAAGAAGAAACATGCAACAATGTAAGCCTTGGCAATTACCGAAAGGGTTGGAAGACGTTTTAAGTGTTATGTTTTGGACTTACATTGTTGCTTGTTTCTTTTGACGTGAGCACCTAGATGCTGATGGCACGAGACTGTGCGGCCTTGTGGCCTTAATACTTGGAATTTCCGTCCGTGCAACGGTGCAATTCAAATGAGTTGTGCCCTTACATGTCTGTGGGTTGGGTTTGTGTATCAAACTAGTTGGTCTGGGTTTGTGTATCGAACTTCACCAGCAAAGACCCTTCGTCGATTTCGTCAGTTGGTGAGGCCCAAATTTTTTTAATTTTTTTTTTAACATGCGATATTATTTACAAGGGAAAGAGAGTGGGTTTAACTTTACAATAAGTTAGCAATGATGTGGTTCAAATTTGTCTTTAGCAAGAATCAAATCTAAGATCTCTCACTTATAAGTGAAAAGGGATATCACTGGATCGTAGTAGTAAGTGGCTGACAGTCCAAATTAAATATTAATAAAATAAAAAAAATAGTGGAGATGGAGAGAGAGAGAGAGAGAGAGAGAGAGAGAATTAGAGGCGGCTAGGGGTGAGTGGAGGCTGTGGCTATGGAGGCAGGAGTAGATCTATTCATGGACCTTCGAGGAGCACCCAACAGTCGGGCGATGGTGGAGGAGAGATCACAATGGCTGTGCATATATTCTTCAAGAGAAGTTTTGAACAAAGAAGAAAGGTCTAATTTTAGCTGATAGGAGCAAAGCTCTGCTGTTTTTTGGACCTTGTTCGGTTGTTCCAACAAAGAAGAAAGACAAAATGACTTTCTTTCTCCATTTTTCATGTGACGGACTCCCAACTGTCGGCGATGGTGGAGGAGAGGAGACCACAATGGCTGTGCATATATTCTTCAAGAGAAGTTTTGAACAAAGAAGAAATGTCTAATTTTAGCTAATAGGAGCAAAGCTCGGCTGTTTTTGGGACCTTGTTCCAACACAGAAGAAACACAAAATGACTTTCTTTCTCCATTTTTCATGTGACCGACTCCCATTTTTTAGTTGTCTAATCAGGTTGTGCCACTTAGCATTTTAGTTAATAAACAATGATGTATTACCCAACTAGTATTTTTATTCCACATGTTTGACATCGTTATTTCTTTTAAAATCCATTATAATTCATACGACCTCTAAAATATTTCGTAAAATACTACAGACTTGTAATCACTTGAAATTTCATTTTATACTATCAAATTTACTAAAATACTAAAGAGAAAATTCTGATATCTCATTCCCTTGTTGGTGTTGGTTTCTTCTCTGAAATGGATGGAGAGTGATGACTGATGAGGAAGCCAACAAGAAGGAAGGAGGATGTTTGCCACCGTCGACGCCACTCTCTCAGCCTCCCTCTACTCTCTTTCCGTCTTTACATGAATCATTACCAGAGCAACGCCAAGGAGTGGCAAGTAAACAGGAATTACAGTAAACATTTACAAGGAGACTGCTCAATATATTCTTAAAAAGTTTCCAGTTATAAATTGTTTTTTCATGAATGCACCTCAGAAATCGTTAGTTAAGGAGATGAGTTATCCATTGCTCTACGATGGCAGGAGACCCGTACCATGGTCTCAACATATCATCTGAACCAACTGGTGAGTGGTAAACACCGTCGAAGCTAATGTTGAGGGCACCCTCCAGATGGGCTGATGCTTCTGGTACAACCCCGTCTCCCCAAACATCTGCCTGCCCACATACCTGAAACCAAACGGTAGTCTCATTATCGGCATTCAGCCTGCAACTTTGATACTCGATCGGCTTACAAGAAATGTCAGAGGACATAACACCAAGAAACATAACTATCACAAGATATCAATGCAAACTGTATTCTGTATTTCAATTGATATTCATAATTTTAATTTGATTGGAAGTGACTGTTTAAACTGCTGAGCCAATGGGGAGTTTTACCTGCTTGTACCCTTGCCCGACAAAGCGCGCACGCAAGGTGGTTGTGGTTGATGTTGGAGTGCTCACAGTCGCATCATTTATGAGAGCAACATCTGATGAGGATTCTACACCCTCTATTGGGAGTGCAGAATCAATGGTTTCGTTTGAGTTGCCAAATAAACGAGCACCTTGAATATACCTGCAGTTTACATATACATGTCTCTTATATATTTTGAGGATTTTTCGTTCAATCAACTACTATTGCATAGAAGGTCAAAATCGATAACAGTGACACAAATAGGTACGTGCCATTTCACACCTTTTAATTTGTCCCCAAAAAAAAGGTTACGTAAAGTAAATTCATTCAGATAATAACAGAAGCAATCTGAACTAAGACAAAAATCAGAATCAAATTATGATTTTACCTCCCTGCGATACATACATATTTCAGTTCGGGAGTGTAAACAGCTTTCGAGCAATGCTTATTAACATAATCCAGGAGACCCCTCGTTTGATCAATGACCCCCGACACGCCTTTTGGTGGTGGCCTGAAACAACAGATAGGTCGTAGTTATGATGAAATTTGAAGTAAGATTATACAGATGGAATAACAGAAGCACCTAAGGATGTCATCGCCAAATAAACCTTAGCTTTACATACGTAGTCATCAGCAAGAAATTATTAAGATAAGAGTTTGATAACATACTGGTGGGGGGTTCCAAGGGTCAATAATAACGAAATATCTGAAAACCCGAATTCTTCCATGTAAAGACGCGCAAGCCATCCTCCTGCTGAGTGTCCAACGAGGGATAAAGTCCCACCTACAACGAAGTATGTCCAACGGTTTTAGAACTACAACAAATGAAACAAACAATTATACTAGTGTACTTGCTGGAGAACTCGAGTATGCAGTCTAATTAAGTAAAGGTCTTCTAGCATAGCTTAATGGTTGCTTCATGGGGCGGTACTGGATGCCTTCTGGCGTAGAAAAACTGGATAAATTTCCATTTAAAGCATAAGCTAAGCTGCATTTCAAAAGCTCTTAAAGCATGAGAATTCTGAAATCAAGCAACGCCATTTAAGATCTAGCAGAACGCTAAGAGGTTGACAGAGATGAAATCAATTATCTTTTAGTATCATCTAAGATAGGACAAGGCAGCATGTAACAAATGATTTGATGCAGACCCTCATCTCAAATTCATCTCAACAACCCTCAAGGAAACGTTAGTTTTAGGTTTAGCGAGTTCACCGTGAATACAAGTATTCTGGATTCAAAAGAAGTAAACAGGAAGACGTACATAATAACATGTATTGCATAGCAGTAAGACAGAGTTGAGCAAGACCTTGTGACAGCTCCTTGGCCTCTTGTACTGCCTCGTCCACCCTCTTTAAATACCTGCCAACGCAACCTCAGTCGTTGTTAGTTCGAATTCAATCCAGTAATCTAACCTATTATATATTTATAATGTGAGTCAAATTCCGAAGGTTTACTCATAAAGAAACAGACATTAACAATTACTGGAGAGTGAGTCGACATACCAGTCGAGTACAGGCCGAGGACTGAGAGTTCCTCGCCAGTAATTGGGGTCAACCAAGCCGGCGGCATTCCTCAGCCAATCAATTCTTGACACCTTAGCAACCACTGTGCTCACTCCATACCCTCTCAGAGTCTGCTCCAACTTCTGGTAGTCAGCTGAATTGTTCCCCAAACCCTGAAACCAGACAACCACAAAACAGGAATTAAGCTTTGTACAAAATGCCATAATCCAAAGTGTGTGCATAAAATCTTAGTGCAAATTTGGAGATATTGGTTAGATCATTTGGTTATGGCAGTGCGGCTGGCATGGAGTTCGGATCCGGCTCCCTGTAAATTAAAATAGTTTAAAATATCGCTGCCTTGTCAAAAAGGAAATAGTATTGCAGATTTTTATAGTAAGTGAAAACTCCACATGAGGAAAAGAGAGCGATTATGAACTTAACTGGAAGAAGAACAGCAGGTCGGTATGACGAAGACGACGACGATGATGTGTCCTGCGAGAATGCAGAGGTGGAGAAGGCCAGTGGCTTTAAAGGGGATAAAAGCATAGCCATTCCCATAGCCAGACCAGAACAAAGGGAAAGGGGATGTTGGGGTTGGCATTTTGTAGTTGTAGCAAAAATGGAGGGACACATTCCACTGGCTTTCTTTGCAAGTTCGACGGTTGAGGTTAGGTTCAAGGACACGTGGCCTACTGCAATCCTCTATCTCCAATAGGCTTCTTTATTCTTTAAATACTTGAGAATTTTAACGAAAAGCACCCGGTACTGTTCATTTTAACGAAAAATCACATTTTTACACTAAAAAGTCAATCATGGGATTGCTCTCGCGCGAACTTGCTTAAAGTCAATACTAGGGAACTCACACGAGAACTTCCCAGTGAGTCACCTATCATGGGATTGCTCTCGCGCAAACTCGCTTAACTTCGGAGTTCCGATGGAACTCGAAGCCAGTGAGCTCCCAAAAGGCCTTGTGCTAGATAGAGGTGAGAATATACATATAAAGCTTATAGGATCCACTCCCCTGGACGATGTGGGATGTTACAATTCGGGTTTGGTAGTAATGTTTTTGTAATATAAATTTTAAGACGATGACAGTGATAGTGATAATGATGATGGTAGCGAGAGGTGGTGGTCATGGTGGAGGGGTTGATGGTGGTGGTAGGTTGTAACAAAAGTACATGATCAACAACTTTCCTTTCAAGTTTATTTTTAAGATGAAAAATTCTTATTATCAATCCTATTGTTTTATGCGATATGTTATTTTACGTGATATATACAAATACATTTAAGACATTTCACATATTACGTTCTGCGTGGTGACGTTGTTTTTCCTATTTCAACAAAAATGATTTGTAACTTAACTTTCATGGGCGAATTTTCCAAAACAAAAGGATGATGTGTCTTTTTTAATCCGTGTTCTTGTAGTAGCCGAGCTGTGGGTGCTCAACTGTAGATATGCTCTTGTTGCACAATTTAGCCCCATTTAGCCTCACGAAGTGTAGGAGGAGAAATTTTTATGCAGCGAGTGTTACAATAAGAGTATATCCAATGCACGCAAACTAGTTTAAGGAAATGTATTTTCTCACTTGAGATGACAAAATTTAATTTCTAACGAAATATATCTAGCCTAGGCTAAAATAGCCAGGGCTTTTCAAGGGGCCAATTTGGCCTTGCTTCTTCAAGGGACCAGTTTAGCCCCGAGTCGTAAATGGTCAACTTAGAAAGAAATTGATAGTCAGTGAAAGCTAGTCATCAAACACTTTTTAGCCTCAACGTCTCAAGAAACAAAATTTTGAAAGGCTCAAATTTCATAAATAATGACATTTTGAGAGGAATAAAGCTTTTAACCTAGCGTTGCCCTTTCAACTTGACTTGCTTTAAGTGGAGGACATGGTTAGTATGTCCCAGTTTAAGAAATTTTTCTATGAACATTCACTGATATTTTAACACGTGAAGTACCCGACTTGCAAGACCATCTCTAACCGAGGGCTGGCCAGAGGTCTCGTTTTAGCCCTCTGACCCTCCAAGATATTAATAATTTAATGAACAATACATGACCATATTTGCCTCCATCTCCAACCGAGGGCCAAAGGGCCATATGGCCAAACATAATTTATTATTTAAAAACTACAACTTAAATTCAAATCCAACAGCTAAGTGACGTCAGCTAGCCGTTGGATTTGAATTTTTTTGGGCTATAAATAGGGTGGATATTGGGTTATAATTCACACAACTTTGAATTCAATCTATTTTAATGCAATCTCTTTCAATTCAATATCTTTCAATAGACAACTTGAATGGGATGGCTCTGTTGGTGGTCGCCAAAAGAAGAATGGAGTAGGCGTTTAAGTTTTATGTTGTTAAATGTTTTTAAAAATGTTGTTTAAGTTTCAAGTTGTTAAATGTTTTTTTTATGTTGTATAATAATTTGTATGTTGGTTAATGTTATTCAATGTTGTTTCATATTGTTTAATGTTGTTTCATGTTACTTAATTTAATTTAATGTTGTATAATGGCTTAGGAAGTTATAGGAAAAAAATAATTTAAAAAAAAATATGAAACAAATTTTGTGAAATAGAAGTTATAGGAAAAAAAATAGAATTTAAAATAAAATAAAACAAATTTTGTGAAATAGAAGTTATAGGAAAAAATGGAATTTAAAAAAAATATGAAACAAATTTTGGAAAATAAAAGTTATAGGAAAAAAAAAATAGAATTTAAGAAAAAATATGAAAAATAGAAGTTATACGAAAAATTTTGTAAATAAAAAAAAATCAAATTGTTAAAAAAAAAAAATCAAATGCAACGGCATCAGCTAGCCGTTGCATTTGAATTTTAGCTTAAGCATTCTTGTTGATTATAACCGACATGATTAATGTTTTTTCTGGCCAGCCTTCCAGCCCTTTGGCCCTTTCAAATTCCGTGGGGCCACTACTACAAAAGAGGCTATCACTGGCGGTGCTACTACAAAAGAGGCTATCACTGGCGGTGTAAAAACCGACAATAAAACCCAATTACTGTCAGATTTTTGGTAAAAATTTGACATAAAGTCGTGCAATGTCGGATAGGTGAAGCGACACCATTGCTACCGTTACCAAAAGGGTATTGACGTCGGTTAGTCGCTTTAATCCGCCACCAAGAAGCAAAGTAATATAAAATAAAAAAGAATAACAGTGTCGCTTGACATCCAACATTACGTCGGTTAGAAGCGACGTTAAGTTCTGACATGATGACGGTTCTAAGCGACATCAACCAACAATTAAAGAATTAAAATATCAAACCTACTGTCGGTCTTAAACGACATCACGTAACAGTTAAACAAATAAAATACTCAAACTACTGTCAGTTTTAACCGACATTATATAAAATATGGATACATAAAATAATTATTATGTTGTCGTTCATAAGCGACACCAAATATATTAATAATAAAAAAATATTTTTTCATTTTTAATTAATAATAATTAAAAAAATTATATAAAAATAAATCCCACCATATGTCAATGAAAAAGCAAACAATTTTAAGCAAACTTCATATTAAAAATAAAACTTCTACCAACTATATATTAAATTTAAAATTAACTACAATTCCTAAAAATGTACAACCCATAAAAATTCTTCCCGAACTCTTGCAAAAGATTTTGAACTGGTTGTATGGTTCATAGTTTTCAACTACCGATTATGCTTATTTTTTTAGGCTATCTCCTGAAAAATAAAAGAATTTATTAGACAAATTTCAAGGTATAATAAAATAAATCATGAAACGTTTACCTTTGTTTTTTCTTTATTCCAGTATGCCACCATCAGAATATTTCTGTAATCTCTAACCTCTGCCGCTACATGTTTTGAAAACGCACTAGAATTATTACTAATGCATTTTCCAGGCGAATCAAACGAACAAGGATGTTCTTTCCAATTCGAAATTGAGGGTCCGCATCTCCGTTGAGTTGATCCTTATAAATACATAAAAAACAATTAAAAACCAAGAAACAAAAATAAATTTTCAATTTAAGCATAAAACTAGTTAAAATAAAAAATAGAAACTAAAATTAATAATCATAATAATTTAAAAATGAACCACCTTCGAGCTCTTCCTCTTCGAATTGGAGTTCCTTAGAATGTTGATCTTCAAAATGGTGATCCATAGAAAATCGGGAAGGAGAAGAGGAAAAACAGAAAAGGAGAAAGAAAGGGACGCACGTATGAAATGGGGAAGGAGAAGAAGAAAGACTGAAATTGGGGGAGAAATGAAAGCACAGATGAAATGGGAAAGAGAGGGGTTTAAATATGGGTACTGAGTTGGCGTCGGTTTAAACTGACATTAATTGACTGACGTCAGATTAAATGTACATGGCGTCGGTTTTAACCGACACCAACCTGACACACTTTACTGCTATTCACGTCGAGTTAAATGAACCAATCAACTTTTTGGTACTCTTTATTGAAAATACGGCGTCGATTTAAATTAATGTTGGTGTCGGTCTTAACCGACACCAACTTCTGACACACTTTTTGAAATTCATGTAGCGTCAGTTTAATGAAACTTGTGTCGAATTAAAAGATAATAACGTCGGTTAAAACCAACACTAAGTTTGAGAATACATTTCGAGCGGGAAATTTCCCACCTAATATTTCAACATATCCATCCATTTCCCGCCTAATGTTTATCCATCCATTTCAAATTATCTCATATAACATTTTAAGATTTTAATAAATAAAATTTAACTTAAATAAAATACGTAATAAAAAACATAAATATAATTTTATTATAAAATATCATCACATACTAATTGAAACATAGTCTAATTAATATTTAAAATATATAAAATAATTAATATCGATTTTAAATTGAAGATCGAATTCATTCATAAATATAATTTTATTATAAAATATCGATTTTGTGGTATCCACTAGTGTAAATATTTTAAATTGAAGATTGAATTCATTCATTGTATTCATATAGGGTCAAGGAGTGTAGATATCAAAAGTCATCAAAATCAGAGTTAAAATAACCATTAAATTGTGAGTTAAAATAACCATTAAATTGTGATTTTTCGTTTATAACCGTTGAAAAGTTTTGTCCCGTTACTTGATCTTTGAATGTTTGTTTTTTTTGATTTTTGGGGTATATGATCTCGAAGCATATACAAACAAGTTAGACAGTTGGATCGTTGAAATTAGTTTTGTAGGATGTGTATCCCATCAAAATCATAGATTCACTAACACTTAGAGTTTATTTATACTTTCATTAAGTATAACATAAGATTTTGTGGTATCCACTAGTGTAAATATTTTAAATTGAAGATCAAATTCATTCATTGTATTCATATAGGGTCAAGGAGTGTAGCTATAAAAAATAATCAAAATCGGAGTTAAAATAACCGTTAAATCGTGATTTTTCGTTTTATAACCGTCAAAAAGTTTTGTCCCGTTACTTGATCTCTGAATGTTTTTTTTTTTTCAATTTTTTGTGTATATGATCTCGAATTATATATAAACATGTTTGACGGTTGGATTGTTGAAACTAGTTTTGTAGAATGCGTATCCCATCAAAATCATAGATTCACTAACACTTAGAGTTTATTTATACTTTCATTAAGTATAACATAAGATTT